AATATTTCTAGGAAATTCCTAATATTGTCGGGTACCAATTTATAATGCTTATTTAACCATGAAATATGAGGTGGAGTGATCAGCTCCTTTCATCATGACCTTGCCTTCTGAGAATATTCCTAGGAAATTTCTAATATTGTCTGCTCATTGACAAACATAATAAGCATAAACCCTATTATGCTTATTTAACCATGAAATATGAGATAGAGTGATCAGTTTCTTTCATCATGACCTTGCCTTCTGAGAATATTCCTAGAAAATTTCTGTGAATATTGCCTCTTACCAATTTATTATGCTTTTTTAACCATGACATATGAGGTGGAGGGATCAGCTCCTTTCATCATGACCTTGCCTTCTCAGTATATTCCTAGGAAATTCTGAATATTGTCTGGTACCAATTTTTAAATGCTTATTTAACCTCCGAGGTGAGCTGGCCAGAGGGAAAGATTATCCTGCCTGTTTTGTGGACTGTGACAAGGGCACTGTGTTGCCAGGAAGGAGCACTTTCTTTAAACTATCAAGACCTTCTTGGGAGGAACTCTGAAGTCTTCAAGCGTTTGTTGACAATACTTTCAGAAACTATTAAAGAAATTATTGTTTGGCCAACAATAGCATTGCTCTTGACTGCTCCACACTACTCTCTCTAACTCTTTGTTTGCTCAATCTTACTCTGTTTATTCCTTTTCTTGCTGTTACATTTCAGTGCTGGCATTCTTTTTTTTTTTTTTTAATCTCCACTTCTAAAGAGTTTAACACATACATTTGATTTTGTTTCTTAAATAGGACTTTGCCCAAGTTTGGAAATCAACCAAAAGTGATAAAGCAAATTTTCATGTAAGTCGACAGAGATATTGTGGTCGCATGGGTCTTATTAAGAATTATGATTAAATATTTTATTTTTGTTGACTGTGTTTATTGCTTTAGTGTTTGTGTATGCTTTCAGAAACCAAATATTTTACAACTTCTACTGCAGTTGCTGATCCGGCTTTTCAAATATAAGTCTTTCCACAGGCATAAAAAGGCTTGATTACTGTACTTTTATTATATTTATTTTGTGGTTTAAACTTTCTACAGTGGTGTTTGAGGCAGGGACAGACTGGGATAAATGATACTGGTTGCTCTGTATTGGTGCCATGCAAAAATTATCATCAGGAAAACTGATCTGATACCAAAGAATGAGATTATGTGGACATACATTAAAGAACATGGAATTTGTCAAGACTCAATACAATAATGATGGAGGCCAAATAAGACACTGGTGAGACATGAGAAAACCTACTGCCAAGAAAACTATTAACCACATTGTTATTCCTAGAAGTTAATAATACTGGATATTTGCTGCTGTTACAGAGTTCTTACAGTACAATATGTTTGTGGTTGAAGTGACCAGAAGAGCAAGAACCTGAACCTTAAATCTCCCTCTACACTTCAAGCGGTGAAAGAGGAAGTAAAGAAGGAGAAGAGTTCTCAATTTTATTTCATCATGACTTGGATACATTTTAATAACCCTCTGTGTCCAGAAATAAATGGCAAAATACCAGACATAAATTTGCCTAGAAAAACCACAACAGCCAAAAAATGCTGGGGTTGGTTCTGCAATGTCCTGTAAAGGATACACAACTATGTAGATATGGAAGTCATCTGCAAGTGCAGATTGGTCTATAAAATATAGGTCGAGCCTCAAATGCCATAAGTCCTTTACCTTAGCTATGTAGATCTAAGTTTCTGCACTCCCCTAGCCTTACATCCCTCTCTGGGTTTTGAGCCTTCAGAAATAAAAGGGAGGAGAGGAAACTCTGCATTACAGTCCCTCTAGAGAATATACTTTAGCACTGGATCAGGAGGAGTCTCATTGTCAGTCTCTGGTGCTGAACCCCATGCAGTTGACCGGTGTTCAAGGTGTGCTCTTACACTTTGTTGATAAACTTTCCTAAGTATTTTCCCATTGGCACCCCATGTTGTTCTACTTAGTTTTCTTAGGATAGCTATCTTCCTTCTGTCTTTGGTTGCTGTCTTGTTGATGTGTTTTCTCCATGTTAACCTATCATCACATGTGACTCTGAGGTATATCTTCTTTTAGTGGTATTCTTATTATCTGACCATTTACCCAACTGACGAATTAACCAAACCAACCAGTTCATCCATCCAGCTGATCAACTCATCAAACCAATCGACTTACCAACCAGCCATCACACCCAGCTGAGCAACTAATCCAGCCAACCCACTAACCCATCTGGGTTTTCCCCTTAGTAAAAATTCAACATTGCAGCATTCAGGACAAGCCGATATTAGCTCCATCCTGCCCTTATCTCACCATCGAAGATTCTTCATACTGATGGTAGCAGCTTTTGTGATCTGGTTAACTACTCGTCTTGCACCCGACTCCCCAAATCTTAAGTGCTGCCCAGAGCCCACCCACCAAACTGACCAGCATACCAACTCCCTCTCCTTTCTTTTCCTGTAGATCAACAAAAGTGATTTACTAACTAGCCAACCAGTGTGAAGGTATTGGGGTATGTATAAAAGTACCTGCTACAGTGAAAGCAAACCTCAATAAAAACAAATAAAATAATGACCAGATTTTTTAAAGCTCCAGGTAATTCTTTGGAAATAAATTATTTATTTATCCAGTCCAAGCCTCTGATAGCTGGTTTGGCTGCAGCAGTTACTGTGGTACTTGTGGCTCTGATTGCTATCATCATCTACAAGAAGCGACATTATTTGTTCCGGCAAGCACCCCCTGTAAGTCAGCTTTCTTTTTTTTTAATTTCATTACTTTTTTTTTTTTAAAGTCAAGAAATGTGAACTGCAGGGGTTAAAATTTAAAAGTTACAAAAAAAAAAGACAGCTGCAATTTGGGTGTGGGTGAGTGTGTGTGGGTGAGTGAGTGTGTGAGTGAGTGTGTGTGGGTGAGTGAGTGGGTATGGGTGAGTAAGTGTATGGCTGAGTGGGTGTGGGTGAATGAGTGTAGGTTGTGTGGGTGAGTGTGGGTGAATGTGGGTAAGTGAGTGAGTGTGTGGGAGAGTGTGGGTGAGTGTAAGTGTGGGTGAGTGTGGGTTGGTGAGTGTGTGTGCAAGTGTGCATGTGTGAGGGAGGGGGGGGGTGTGGGGGTGGGTAAGTGTGTGGGTGTGGGTGAGTTGGTGTACGTGCATGGGTGAGTGTGTGCATGTGTGCATGCATGTGCAGGCATGTAAAGGTGGGAAAGGGTGAGGGGTTGGGTGAGGAGGGTGTGTTAGGGGATAGGTGAGGATGAGGGGGTGGGTGGGGGGTGAGGGGGGGGGTGAGGGGGGGGGGGGGGGTTCATGGGTGGGGGGGTTGGTGAGTGTGTGGGGGTGAGTGCATGTGTGGGTGAATGTATGTGGGTGTGGGTGGGTAAGTGTGTGGGTATGGTTGAGTGAGTATGTGGATGTGGGTGTGTGCATACGGGTGAGTGGGTGTGTGCTTATGGGTGAGTGGGTGTGAGCATATGGGTGGGTGAGTGATTGTGTGGGTGAGGTAATGTGGGTGAGTGAGTGTGTGTGGGTGGGTGAGTGTGTGTGTGGGTGAGTGAGTGAGTGGGTGGGTGGGGGGGGGTGAGTGAGTGGTGGGGGGGGGGGGTGTGTGTGAGTGTGTGGGGGGGGGGTGAGGGGGGGGGAGTGGGGGGGGGTGAGTGAGTGAGTGTGTGTGGGAGAGTGAGTGAGTGTAGGTGGGTGAGTGAGTGTGGGTGAGTGGAGGGGAGTGTGTGGGTGAGAGAGTCTGTGGGTGAGAGAGTCTGTGGGTGAGAGAGTCTGTGGGTGAGTGAGTCTGTGGGTGAGTGAGTGTGTGGGTGAGTGAGTGTGTGGGTGAGTGATTGTGTGGGTGAGTGATTGTGTGGGTGAGTGAGTGAGGGGGGGGGTGGGGGGGGTGAGTGAGGGTGTGTGGGGGGTGAGTGAGTGTGAGGGGGGGGGGTGAGTGTGTGGGGGAGTGAGTGTGTGGGGGGTGGGTGTGGGGTGGGTGAGTGTGGGGGGGGGGGGGGGTGAGTGGGGGGGGGTGGGGGTGGGGGGGGGGGTGAGGGGGGGTGGGTGAGTGAGTGTGGGGGGGGGAGTGGGTGGGGGTGGGTGAGTGGTATGTGGGGGGAGTGGGGTGACTGAGGGAGGGGGGGGGTGGGGGGGGGGTGAGGGGGTGGGTGGTGGGTGTGGGGTGAGTGAGTGAGTGGGTGAGTGGGGGGGGGTGAGGGGGGGGGAGGGGGGGAGTGGGGAGTGGGGGTGGGGGAGGGGTGAGAGTGAGTGGGGGGGTGGGGGAGTGAGGGGGGGGGGGTGAGTGGGGGGAGTGAGTGGGTGGGGGGTGAGTGTGGGGGGGGTGAGTGGGTGAATGAGTGTGGGTAAGTGAGTGGGTGAGTGTGCGGGTAAGTGAGTGTGTGGGTGAGTGAGTGTTTGGGTAAGTGTGTGTGTGAGTGAGAGAGTGTGTGTGAGAGTGAGTGAGTGAGTGAGTGTGTGTGTGAGTGAGTGAATGTGTGTGAGTGAATGTGTGAGTGAGAGTGAGTGAGTGAGAGTGAGTGAGTGAGAGAGTGAGAGAGTGAGAGTGAGTGAGTGAGTGAGTGAGTGAGTGAGTGAGTGAGTGAGTGAGAGTGAGTGAGGGAGTGAGAATGTGAGTGAGAGTGTGAGTAAGAGTGAGTGTGTGAGTGTGAGTTTGAGAGTGTGAGTTTTGAAAGGTATTCAACAATATGGGCCGACTTTTCATCAGGTTGTAACTGGTACTATTAGTGTGTGGACTCTCTTTGTTGGCTTCTGAAGCATGTATGGGAATATACTGAGTGCATTGATGTCAATTCCTGATTCATTCATTCATTTGTTTATTCATTTACCCAAAGGCAAAAGAGGACAGATGAAATTAGCACAAATGATGACTTATTTTAAAAAGCTCTACTGATCTGCACATAAAAAAACAAAAGATCTGTGAATGATTCAGATACAAACACGATTTGTTTCTTCCACAGGACTCACAGTGCAAAATCACATTCTCAAAGATCAACTCGGATGAAAATGGAGACACAGTCAGTCTCCCAGACAATACACAGTATCACAATCCCATGTTTAACAACCCGAATCTTTAGTGAAAGTCAAATCCCTAAGAAGAGAAAGCATGCAGTCGGCAGTAACCACATGACTTGCATTTCCATGAACTTATGATTTGTTGTTGGCTACACAAGCATCGTTTATAGATTGCTGCAAATATTATCAGTATTTTTATGTATTTTGTCTACACTTAGAGATTACACATTATACATTGTGTGATGTGTGTTGGTGAAAGAGAGAGAGAGAGAGAGAGAGAGAGAGAGAGAGAGAGAGAGAGAGAGAGAGAGAGAATGAGAAACTGGAGACAAAGAGAGAGAGCAGAAAGAGAGAGGGTGGGAGATTCTCTTGGGAAACCAGACACATTGTGAAGATGTTTCTGCCACTTCTGGCAGCTGAGCTTCCACTCATGAGAAAGTGTTCTCATCAAAGTGGTGGCCTTTTGGATGTTGTCCAGAGTTTCTAAATGATGCCATTTTAGGTCAAATTTCAGCTCGGAGAATGCACAAGGACTAAGATCAAGCTATTGATTCTGTATCAGTACTGAAGGAATACAATGTTTGGTCAAAAGTAGGATTGAGAAACCTATTACACATATATAAACAAAGAAACATGTATATAAACAAAGAAAAATATATATAAACAAAGAAACATGTATATAAACAAAGAATCTGGTGCTTTGAAGAGTTTTATTTGCTGGTCAAAAATCATTCTATATATCAGCCTTGTCCATTGCAAATTCATTTTCCACAGAAACCCTGACCCAATCCTATCATCTTGTCTGTGCCCTGACTACAAGCCTGTCAGCTTGTCTGTGCCTTGACCCCAAGCCTATCAGCTTGCCTGTGCCCTGACCCCAAGCCTCGAATCGAATAGAACAGAATGTAGAAATAGACTGTGTGGCCTATGGGACATAATGGCACTACAGGACACTGGCTGAATGATTGAATGAATTGCTTTCATTGCAGAGGAATGTCGTCAGAAAAGCTCCAGCCTCCTATAGTAGATCACCAGGAGAATTTCAGCACAGTGCATGAATTCTAAGTTCTTTTGGTACCCAACCCTGTGTGTTTTCAGGCCAAGAATTTAATGTGTTCACTTTCAGATGGAGCAAAAACTGTTTTTTTTTTTTTTTCTTTTTGGAAATATCTCTTCCACTACAGTTCTTTCAACACCTTTGAGATATTTAATATGGCCAATGAATTTCAGTTTTCAAGCCAGTTGTTTTTGGCTGTTTTTAAAATCCAGATCTTATTATATTTGTATATATATATATTTTTTTTCTTAGCCTTAACATGAGACATTCATTGCTTGCTTATTTTCAGAATTATTGTTGATGCAGTACATTCTGTTGCTATATCTGTTTGGTGCTTCAATTCCTTAAATAAATGACACATAAGAAATGTAATGTCTTTTACTGTTAAAGGTGGTATTCTTAGAAATGTTTTCTCTTAAAGGTCAGAAGATCAGCAACGTCTCCTCTTCTTAGTAATAACCAGCTGTAAAGGCGGGCAGAAAGCTCTGGTTGTTCAATTGTGTCCAAACTTTGGCCTTGCTCCAGAACTTGAAATTTGCAGTCACATCTGTTTTCACAGACCTGGTTTATTTGTATGCAGACTTGGTTCCTCACCTCCCAGGCAGTTGCAGTCCCTCTTTATAGGAGACATCCCCAATTATATGTGAGTCCCTTTACAATAAGCTTGTGGGTAATGAGACTGTGCCACTAACATGATTGCATGACTGATTAGTAAGGCACACTGCATCCCAGCTATGCCGTCTTTAAGACCAAGATGGGAGACATTCTGACCAACTCCTCATAACAACAATATGTAGAGGTCTGAGTATGAATGGGAACGTGTATTCACGTATACTGTGACAACATAATTGCCAAACTGCCTACAGTCTGAGTTGGAACCTGTAAATATCATGATTTTAAAACAACGTTTACAGTCCGGGTTAAGGGTTAACAACTCAAGGCTTCTGGATACTATAACAAACAACAACAAGCAGTCATTAAACCACAAAAAACATGGATTTATTACAAACTTACAAAATCAGTGCTGTCTATTAAATACATTATTCTTAAGATTGGAAACTTTTTCATCTTCAACGTTTGGAGTCCTTGTGGTTTATTGTTGCAGATATCACCCGTCTCCATTCTTCACTATGACTGGCCTTCTCTTTCCAGTTCTTCTTTTTTTAATCATTCCGAGCCATTGAGGTTCTTTGCTGCAGATATCACCCGCCTCCATTCCTCTCTCTGGTTTTCTTCTCTTTCCAGTTACTGTCTCCAAATGTTTGTAGGTCTGTCTGTATATTATGTCTCCAACATTTTTTGGGTCTGCCTCATGGCCAACTCCCATTCAACTCTTTTGTGTGCATAATTGTTGTCTCACTGTAATATTCTCTCTCTGTGTCACATCTTTCGCGGTCTATTAGCCCTGACGATACCAACAGATAGACACGGCTTAGAACTTCAACACCCTGAAGTTAACTGTTTAAATATGTATTGTCGACATTCTTGGGTGGCAAGGCAATCGGGTCTATTGGCTTGCATTCTGAAAGGCGTGAATATGTTTTCGAACTACGTTGTTCAGTTCGCGCCCACAATTTTAAAGAGATCCATGGGTGGTCGTCACTTAAGACTTAGGGAGGTCGTTACTTTGTGTGACGCTTTCAGCAGACAGCAAGTCCCTCTGCTGGAGAGATCGAGATAAATGGCGTGCAGTGAAATCGATCCTCTTACACTAAACGGCAGTTATAGTCTAGAATAAACAAGGTTCAAAGATTTATTGTCAAAACGAACGTCATAAAATGGCTGATATAAATGATAAATGTACTGGGACAGTCCATAAATAGGTCGATCGTTCTTTTGTATCTGTTCTCGCTGTCTCGGGAATGGTTGCTCTTCTGCATCTGTTCTCGCTGTCTCGGGAATAGTTGCTCTTTTGCATCTGTTCTCGCTGTCTCGGGAATAGTTGCTCTTTTGCTTCTGTTTTCGCTGTCTCTGGAATAGTTGCTCTTCGGCAGCTGTTCTTGTTGTCTCGGGAAAAGTTTCTCTACTGCAGCTGTTCTCGTTGTCTCAGGAATAGTTGCTTTTCTGCGGCTATTCTCGTTGTCTCGGGAATAGTTGCTCTTCTACATCTGTTTCTCGTTGAATCGGGAATAGTTGCTTTTCTGCAGCTGTTCTCGTTGAATCAGGAATAGTTGCTCTTCTACATCTGTTCTCGCTGTCTTGGGAATGGTTGCTTTTCTACATCTGTTCTCGCTGTCTTGGGAATAGTTGCTCTTCTGCATCTGTTCTCACTGCATCGGGAATAGTAGCTCTTCTACATCTGTTCGGCTAAGTCGATGCGAACGCCTCGTAATGCCGGGGTACCGGGTTCGATCCCAGCTGCAGACCATACGCCTTGCGTTGGTTTCGACAGTGGTATCAGGGAGCTGACAGTCCAGAAAGCAATGGCAAACTACTGGACGTAAATTTGCCTAGTGAAACCACACAACAGCCAGGGGCTGATGGGGTTGGTTCTGCAACGTCTTGTAAAGGATACGCAACTAACCTACATCTGTTCTCGCTGTCTCGGAAATGGTTGCTTTTCTACATCTTGTCTCGCGAATAGTTGCTCTTCTACATCTGTTTTTGTCTCGGGAATAAATGCTCTTCTACATCTGTTCTCGCTGTCTCGGGAATGGTTGCTCTTCTGCATACCTCAACCTCGATTAGCATCGAGAGTCCCATAGCCCACAATTTGAGAAACACTGGTATTTCTGATCTAGCAAATGTCTGGAGGCACCTTTTGGTAATAGGTTTAGCCCGATTTGTTTTGTCAAAGGTCAGTTATCGGTCCCTACACGTCAGCCTAGGGCGGCTTCACCCAGAGCGTGACAGGTGAAAATAAAAGCCATAAATCAATACACGATCGGCAGGAAATCCTTCAGCTAGCAGTTCCTATGTTTGTATTATAACCTGGCAATTCTAGGGACAGGTAAGTGCTGACAATATATTATATAAATTGGTGTCGATTGGTTTTTGTTAGAGAGTTTCTGAACAAACGGAGAGCGAGACAGAGAGAGAGAGAGAGAGAGAGAGAGAGAGAGAGGGAGAGAGGGAGGGAGGGAGAGAGGAGAGAGAAGGGGTGGGGTTAAGAATGTGAGAGATCGAGAAAGTACGTGAGAGAAAAACAATGTGAGGGAAAATATGTGAGATAGTAGAGAGAAAGAACGAGAATGTGAAAAAGAGGAAACGTTTGAAAGAGATTGTATGTGTTAGATAGAGGTTACAGAGTCTGTGTGTCTGTGTTAAAGAGGATACAGGAGAAAGCGGGTATGCGCGAGAGTGAAAGTGTATATGTTTGTGTGTGCGTTAGAAAAAGAGAGGGAGAAATGAAAGATAGCGATAGTCGGGTTAGAGAGAGAAAGTGAGAGAGAGAGAGAGAGAGAGAGAGAGAGAGAGAGAGAGAGAGAGAGAGAGGGAGAGAGAGAGACTGTTAAAGTGTTAGATTCTATATTATGTTATCATCTGTGTGCAACAGTCTGTATTTTACAGTCTGTGTGCTTACGCCTCCACGCCAGAGACTGTCTGCTTATGTTTGTGCACTAGAGTATTAGATTAGAGTCTGTGTACAAGAGTATGTGTATTAGATTGATAATCATACACTCATAACGTTTTGTAATAACAATTATGGTGTTTATTACTCAAATACTTTCCAGTACCGAAACAACCTGCCATTGTATAAGCTCTGTATCACTCGTGTCGTGACGATGGCGTTGAGGCCAAGCACAACAGGGTAAAAATAATACTGCATCGTGTGTGTTTCTTGTTTTTTTAAAGTTATTTAATATTTAGGTAAAAACCTAGGCCCGTAGGATAGGTGCGACTAGTCGCTTAATCTGAGCCGGCCCGCGTTACACACAATAACTCTTTTAAAAGAAAGTAGATGTTACTTGAACTCCTGTATCCTAAGGAGATGAGTTTAAAATTGTTAAATACCACATACCTAGGTCTAAAGGAGTTAAATAGAGACATTATGGGGAATACATTGTTAAATACCTAGGTCTGAGAGAGTTAAATAGAGACATTATGGGGAATACATTGTTAAATACCTAGGTCTGAAGGAGTTAAATAGAGACATTATGGGGAATACATTGTTAAATACCTAGGTCTGAGAGAGTTAAATAGAGACATTATGGAAATACATCGTTAAATACCTAGGTCTGAAGGAGTTAAATAGAGACATTATGGGGAATACATTGTTAAATACCTAGGTCTGAAGGAGTTAAATAGAGACATTATGGAAATACATCGTTAAATACCTAGCCTGAAGGAGGTAAATAGAGACATTATGGAAAAATATTGTTAAATACCTAGGTCTGAAGGAGTCAAATAGAGACATTATGGAAATACATTGTTAAATACCTAGTCTGAAGGAGTTAAATAAAGACATTATGGAAAAACATTGTTAAATACCTAGGTCTGAAGTAGGTAAATAGAGACATTATGGGGAATGCATTGTTTAATACCTAGGTCTGAAAGAGGTAAATAGAGACATTATGGAAATACATCGTTAAATACCTAGGTCTGAGAGAGTTAAAGAGAGACATTATGGAAATACATCGTTAAATACCTAGGTCTGAAGGAGTTAAATAGAGACATTATGGAAATACATCGTTAAATACCTAGCCTGAAGGAGGTAAATAGAGACATTATGGAAAAATATTGTTAAATACCTAGGTCTGAAGGAGTCAAATAGAGACATTATGGAAATACATTGTTAAATACCTAGTCTGAAGGAGTTAAATAAAGACATTATGGAAAAACATTGTTAAATACCTAGGTCTGAAGTAGGTAAATAGAGACATTATGGGGAATGCATTGTTTAATACCTAGGTCTGAAAGAGGTAAATAGAGACATTATGGGGAATGCATTGTTAAATACCTAGGTCTGAAGGAGGTTAATAGAGACATTATGGGGAATGCATTGTTAAATACCTAGGTCTGAAAGAGGTAAATAGAGACATTATGGGGAATGCATTGTTAAATACCTAGGTCTGAAGGAGGTTAATAGAGACATTATGGGGAATGCATTGTTAAATACCTAGGTCTGAAAGAGGTAAATAGAGACATTATGGGGCATAAATTGTTAATTTGATATTTCTTCTTCTTCTTCTTCTTCTTCTTCTTCTTCTTCTTCTTCTTCTTCGTCTTCTTCGTCTTCTTCTTCTTCTTCTTCTTCTTCTTCTTCTTCTTCTTCTTCTTCTTCTTCTTCTTCTTCTTCTTCTTCTTCTTACGTCAACATTTGAAGTTCTAATCAGGCACTGTGGCTTGTCTTTTACGCAGCGTTAATGTATGCAGTTAGCTAGTAAGTTAGATAGTTAGTTAGTTAGTGGAAAAATTATCCTCATTGCACCTCGAACCATACAGTATATAAGTGCTGGAATCTCTTCCTCAGTAAATCCTACATTATATTTTCCGGCCACACAACTTTTAATATGCTATTTTTGTAGTCCGGTATTTGGTGCAGATTCAGTCATCACATTTGGTTCTTGCAAATATTTCACTTCTCGTACAGCGGTCATTTCAACCTAGTCCCAGGCTTATCTGCCCTCCTGTTATTATGATTATAAAAACAGTTTTGTATGTGTGTATGTGAGTGTGTGTGTGTGTGTATGAGTGCGTATGTGTGTGTGTGTGTGTGTGTGTGTGTGTGTGTGTGTGTGTGGAGGGGTGGGGTGGTGTGATAGCAACAGCAGCGGTACTAGCAGTAGTCGTACCTTTCTGGATTATGTTCTGTATGGCGGTCGGTCACCGCAAAACATCGTATGTAAATTCTTCGGTTTTCGCGGAATACTTCTCATAGTCCACGCCAATATGGCGTTGGTAGTCATGTTCTGTTCGCTGTACTATCAAACATAATATCGACTAGTTTCTGTGTTTGGTGACACAAACAAATAAATATAGTCTCAGTTTGTCTTTTATTGTCAATGATTTTAATAACTACTTCCTCGCCCCAAACAAACTGAGGTTGGTCTTTCATTTATGTTTGGTGACCTTTCACAATCGCTAGTCTGCGTTACAGGGGTGTCAAGTTGTATTGTGTTCGATGCTTTGAGTCTTCTATATTGCGCGTCGTGTACTGGTTGTTGTGAGCGGCAAGCGACATTGTGTGTATTATAGCTTTTTCAGACTTCAAGTAGGACACGAATTTATTTCAGCTGTCAGCGTTGACGAGCGACAAGGAGAGCAGCGTTGTGCAGCAAGAAGGCTTTTTAGAGCCCACCGCAAAACGTAAAGAATTCTGAAACCACGGGATGTAGGTCGCACTCTCTCGTAGGACGTATCGTAGGGTTATGGGATCATTAAAAGCGGTCACATCGTGTAATATAAAAGACAGGATATCGCCGGTGATAGCATTGAAGTCAACACAACGTGACTCCCCTGGTTAGGTTAGTTGCGTGTCCTTTACAGGACGTTGCAGAAAAAACCCAAACAGACCCTTGCTTTTGTGTAGTTTTTCTAGGCAAATTTACGTCCAGTTCTTTGCCATTGCTTTCTGGACGGTCGGCTTTCTTGATACCACTGTCGAAATCAACGAAAGGCGCATGGCCCGCAGCTGGGATCGAACCCGGCATCCCGGCATTACTAATGTAGTTCGCATCGACTTAGCTAGAGAGGCGACGTAACCTAGATTAGCGCGTGTGAAAAGTCACCAAGTATGAACGAAAGGCCAACAACAGTTTGTTTATAATGAAAAACGTAACTGGAACCGGTGTTAAATAACTAACCCAGAAGTAAAACACATGTCACTTAACGCTAAAATAACACAATTTTACAAAATCTTTGAAAAATATCAGCTGGTCACGTGACTTCCTCCACAGGTGTGGGAACACAGATCATTGGGCAAAGCTCAAAGTTCGGGTAAGTTCGCCGAACTTCATGATCATCATTCTTTAATTAATTGTCGCCTTTTTTTGCATTGGCTTAGATAATATAGTATCGACAGCCGACCAACCAAGTTCAATGGCAAACTACTAAACATAAAATTGCTTAGTAAAACCACGAAAAAATTTCCCTGGTACTCATTTCAGCCCGGGTCGACTTGGGAGTCAGTTTTGAAAAAAGAAAACAAAAATCCGTCTAGATGTGGATTTGAACCTAGATCTTCGGACCGGCAGGCCAGCAAATGCTACTCGTGACATCGCAAAATCATCAAGACGGTCATGAATTTGGAACTGCCACAGATAGAGATTAAACAACGTATCCGTGCCATGGATTCAAGCAGAGAAGCAAACAGACCGATAGGCACATGGACAAATATGTAAAGGTCACATGAACGCCTACGTTTTGCATTCAGCTAGCTTTCATTTGAATAATTAGTTTTCGTTAAAATAATTTTCATGTTGACTTCAACCTTATTTTTTATTTGAAAATAATTGTAACGTACTGCCAAGAAAGGAGTCAATAGTTGGCGTATTAAAAGATATAAGTGCGATATGAGTGCCAGGTATCGGTGTTTCACAGACACAAGTCTTTACCGTCAAGACCATGAATGGATCTTTGTGTAGCAAGCGGACTGTGGTGAACCCTAGCAGTGGTTGACACCGCAACTATTCAGTCTCGCGACAGTTAAAGACAACGAGTAAAATATTCAGACGTATCACGTGGAATATTTTAAAACTAGCGTATATGAATTCTCTAAAACTTAAAACGCATGCTTAAATGAATAACATTTGCATGCTAATTTATGGGAATTAGTAGTGGGGGACCATTGACGCTGCAGAAGCATTATTTATAATATACAAGCAAACAGTTTATTGATTAACACTCGTAGAAAGAAGTAGAAACGTTGAAGGACACACTAAAATACATAAAAATCGAAAGCTATAGTTACTGTGGGAAATTTAACCTGTCACCTCCAAAGGACGAAAGCGCCTCGTTGCAGAAACACGTGTACTAAAACGCATGACAGCAAAAAAAAAGCAAGCAGATGGCTTGAACGAGGCAAAGGCGCGAATATAACTAAACATCAGAAAGAGACAGTAATCAAATATGAATCATGCTATGAGAAGAAGGAAACTGGAACATACTAGGCTTACTGGAAATATCGGTGGATAGAGAGACAGAGGAAGACAATGCGAGAAGATACATGACAGTCTTTTGTCATGGCATGGAGGGCTATCAGCACACGAACTGATACATGCAGACGCAGATTGTGGATAGGTAGGACCGCCCAAGTTAGTTGGCAAAGCACTTGATGATGGTAAGATACATGACCAGCCAGGCACATCCAGATAACTGTGTCTTCATTAGCCAGGTTTATCCTAAAGCTTGATTCCACAAAGGTGGAACACGGTATAATTCCTGGGGGAACCGGTACAGAAATCTGAATCGTTAGCAGTTGGTTATTTAAAACAGTTTGCGTATGTGACTGGGCGGTTAGTGATATCGTTTCACGATGCAATCCTTGACCTTCACCACGTTTCACCTAATGCAGTAGGTGGTTTAGAAAAAGAGATCGTTTTCGAGGCTTCTAGAAAGTATTACGAAGGTCATACCGTAAAGGTAAATCTCATGTAATTGCGCCGCTGGTGTGGGGAACAGCGTTTGCTATGACGGTAAAGTCCAATGAAGGAGTGATAGTCTATACCTCATAGTTCTCATGAAACCTTTGAAACGCTATAGTTCCAAGGCAGTTTTTTGTCTCAGACGGCACAACAGGTGAGGGGTGGAGGGGGTGGAATCGATGTCTATGGCTTAGGATGAGTACCACAGTTTCATAGTTCCGACATATGGTGCTCAATTATGCTGCCAGTGATTTGACAGCAGGCCGTTTTGCGTTCACTTTGACAATAGTATGAGCGCCGACCGTGTAGTTGCAATGGTAAACTTCGGTACGAAAAGCTGTCTTGTGAAACGGAAAACCACCAATGCGTGCTGGGGTTGTTTTGCCAAGTTATGTAAAGGATTTGCAACTAAATTTTAAAAATTACAATTTTCTGTCCCACACGGTCCTAGCTAATATCCGGGGAGTTACAAATGGCAGTACCAAACTCATGGGTATACTACTTCTAAAGGAGCCAAACATACAACAACACTTGTAGGAAACAAATATGTCGTAAAAAATCTTCAGAGTGCCTCACTAAACATAAGCTGCAAAAACATTTGAAAACTTATCGACCTGTACACGTGAAAATTACCCAATCATGCAATGTGTATTGTTTTGGATAGAAAAAGTTTTTAAAAACAAAACTAATAATTTTACTTACTCTATCCATCAGTCCATCCATCCGTCCATCCGCCCGCTCGCCCGTCCGTCTCTTATCGAAAGACAGTACTATTTTCCTCTATTTGTGAATATTCACCCCCCTCCCCCAACCCATCTGTTTCCACTTAATCACATTCTAACAATATGCACCTGTTTGTTACTCAGGCAAACTCAATCAAATCAGCGGATGTGACCAAACGCTCTTCATTGTCGGAGTTTGGTAAGATGCTTCACTTCTTAACTTCTTCCAGTAACGTCATCGTGGAGTTAGGGGGTTGGGTAATAAAGATATACTCTGTGTTCTTTTCAGTTCGGGACATACATTGGTCCTCATGTCTTTAAAGATGTTCTTGATGCCGTCGTTCCATATTCTGCATGGTCTTTCCCTTGTTCCGTATCCATAAAACTTCTTCAGCGTGGCTCTCTGTGGCAGCTGGTACCAGGCAATTCTCGTCAGGTGGCCAGACCATCTTTTCCTGTTGCTCTTTAACGAACTGTAAGTAAAGCAAAAGTCCCTTTTCCCCGCCTTTAGGCGTATAGTGCTAGATCTATATTTTATAGACCAATCGGCACAAGATGGGTGATATGGTTTGCATCACACCAGCCGCTATTACTTCCCAGGACAGCAGCCGGTACCCAATCAAGGCTGGGTCGACCTGGGAGTCAGGGTCATTGTTTCTTGAAAATCTGGCTCTGCCAGGGGGCGAACCCGCGAACTTCCGATTCCCACGCGCGTGTCTAGCCGCTTTGCCATGGCGACTTCCCTTTAATGAACTGTAGGACCTGGTAAAATGCGGTGTCTACTAAACATCGAAATTATTTACTCACTGCAGAAACGTGGCTTTTGAGAAGAATATACCGAATATCAGGGAAGTATAGAGAAACAAACGAGGCGGTTCAGTTGGAGGCGGATAAGTGCTGTAAACTGATTGCAGAAATTAGACACAGACAATCATTTGTGGAGGTGGGGCGGGTGGGGTAATCTTTGAGAACGAATCTACTTTAGAACTTGGCTATAACTGTAAAGATTGATGGGAAATGAGCAAAGCGAAGGCAGGCAGTCAAAAACCTGAATGGTCTAGCTAAACGGGATTGGGTGAGACAGAATCACTGACCTGATACGTGATTCTAGTGATTGTATGATATGGCGAAACATGACGGCGTACTTCCATCGGCATGGCTCATGATGATGTACGGTAGTTTCTGTAGCTGTATGAATTAGCCCCGGGTGATCATCTTGATATTGATGCCCGTCTCTAGGTAGTGTTTGTATGTACTAGAAAGCTTAAAAAATCTGCCGGAGTTTGTGCATTGTATAGAAATAAGTAACAATGCAATAATTTACTCTAGATTTCCTTTAAAATAGTTCCCTTTCCAACTACATACAATTGCTAACGTTCATACTGAGTATAGGAGCATTCCTGAAACCCCAATATTTGACATCTCTTTTACCTGCTTTGTCGTATTGGTGAGAACGCCCTCAGCATCCTTGAACCGCTGAAGAAAAGGAATGGTTATTTTTTTTTTTGGGGGGGGGGGGGGGGGTGGCGGGTGAATAAAATCATATCTCTTTGTACCGATAAAATACATTCCCTACAACGTTGTCATTGAACACTTGTGTAGACTGTTTCTACAACATTCTTCAGGGCCAGAGAAGAACCCAAACAAGAATGTTCTCGAACCAAACAGACACGCCAGTGCCCCAAGTACAGCACAACACCCATTACTCAACTATAGGCGCTCTTTGGACCAACAGATCAATGCATTCACAGATGACCATTTGTTCGTTGTTGTTCCTAAATCTGGCATACAGGTAACTCCTCCACCCCCCCCCCCCTCCGTTTAGTGGTAGAGCTGTTGACTGCTGTTGCCTGTTTGAAGACAGTAGTGTAGTAAGGTGATGGTAATGATACCTGCTCTTTGCTTGTTTATAAATAGTTTGCTCGTGATTGTTTATTTACAGAAAGTTTTGAGCAAATGTTCTGATGATAACATGTTAGAGATAAACAGTATAATGTTTTCAGCGCTGCATGTGTAGTGAATATAGACAGATGAGTATAAAATGTTGACCATCGCTGGATCGCCAAGCAAGCCTGCCACCATTAGGGTAACGTTGAATATGACTATCTTTTTTTAGTCAGTCAAAGTCGCCTTGGTGTAGCGGCTAGACGCTCGCATGCGGATCCCAAAGTAGTGGGTTTAAATCCGAACAAAGCTGGACATTTTATTTGAAAAAGGATCTTTTCTTTCAGGTGGATCTAAATTTAAATGGGTACCATTTAAAGTCCTGCCGAAACCGCAGATAAACTTGCTAAGAAAGGGGCAGAATGTGTCTAGGAAGAGAATGCAGTAACATACTATGAGAAGAAAATGGCCATCCAGGCTATTAGAAGCGAACAAAGTCTGGCCAGAGATGACTACCAATTACTTGACCAGCATGGGCAGGTCATTATCCTACGTCTCAGGACAGGACATAACAAACTTAACCAGCATATGCACAGGCTTCGTCTAAGTAATTCACCTTTGTGGGCTATGTGTGCAGACTACAGAACATGTCCTGCAAGACTGTCCCTTGTTCCTCCCATTAAGAAGAGAATACTGACCCAGTGAGTCACCACTGCTCACAAAGTTGTATAGGACTAAAACGGAACTCATAAAAACAGTCAAGTTTATCAAAAGAACATGTCTGTCGGTGTCAATCAGAAAGCGAACACAAGAAGAACAAGAAAAGAAGAAGAAGAAGAAGAAGAAGAAGAAGAAGAAAAGTCCTGGGAAGTAAAGGCGGTCGGCAGGATGTTGGCCACATCACTCAACTAGTGCCAAATGATCTATAAAACTGTGTCAAGCCCTATGTGCCTATTGAGCCTGAAGGTGTGGAAAAGGGTCCATATACTTTTGTTTGATCAGTCAATGACCTGAGCATAGACGGACAGAAAATGTACATAGACAGAAAGACAGAGAAATAAAAACGAATAGATGGATAGACGCACAGAGCAGAGATTTGGACAGATGACGACTGGTGAGAGGAGAAAGTGAATTATGATCTGCCTGTTTCATCCATCGCGCAGAAACACTGGCTCAACAACTGCTACCAGCAACGTGCACGAGAAGGCTTTAGGTACTGGCTTATCAACAGACCTCTGCCGACATCATGTAGGTATATCCTATCTTTATATCTCACGTATGTATATCCGTTGATCAAACATCGCCTCTGTATATCATGATATAACACTGATATGTACCCTGGTCCTAACATTGAGTATGTATATCCTCTTCCTACATCATATCTTGACATCTTTTATGTGCATCAGGTATCAAGATCTGTTATGTATGGCTGTAGTGAAACAATGATTAGAAAGAAGTGAACAGAGTACGATTCCTGATAAACCCATGACAACTGACTTTGACGGATGTATACGCACGATAGCCGGCAAGCCAACAACCAAGATTAGAACGCAGGAGACAACGCCATTCAATCTTGCCGTTAGCTAGGGAGATAACTGACCACGAGTACAGGGGACAGGGTACTTCAGGCTTCAGAGGAGACGGAATGAACCTGGAAAGAGGGTAATGGCCAGGCAGGTTGACGAGTGTCAGTGGGTGGGGAATGGGCGACGCTGAGATCACCCAAGCGTGGTGAAGAATTGAGATTAGGAGAAAATGGGGAAGAAGCAGAGTAGCAGAGGCAGAAGTTAGAGCCAGGGCATCTTAGCTGAGCGGCTGCAAAACGAGGACACCCTGTATGTGTAAGAATCGTACAATTATTGTATGACCGAAAGTTAAACTTGGTGAAAAGAAAAAGGGTTTTACCCAGTGTTAAAGGTTTGACTCCTGTTAGAAATACTAGTGAAGCACATACTTACAGCTTCGATAATCTGAAGTGTACTTCACCGTTATACACACAAAACCCAGTGTTGTACTTGAATTGACATTATGTTGTTCTAATAAACGATCTAAAATTCATATGAATTGATTGGATTCGTTACATCACTGGCTGTGTTGTTAAACACAATCAAGAGACGTACAAACATTGGCTTATATATTTGTTCTATCTAGGCATGCTTATACGCATTGGGAGCTTGGAGATACAGCTGTGTCACATATCCAGTTCCAACCCTTTGAAAGTGTATATCTATGTCTTGCTCCCATATCCTGTATGTAAATCAAGTTCTAACAATGTCGCCGTATCTTAACACCTTGTGTTCATATCATGTCTCGACATCTTGTGTGTATAGTTAACAGTTAATAGTTAATCTAACGAGTATACTCAGTGTGCATCGGACAAGTTCATTAGCGCTCGGATCCCATCTACAGGATCCCACCCCCCCCCCAACCCCCAAGCGTGTGGCGACTGATAACACCGGGTTTGTGTTGGTTTACTATTCTTCTTTGGCTACCTGTATGGTGTTCATGTTTGGCGAAACCTCTTTTGACCTGAAGTTCTTGTGGTCTTTTGAGTGTTGTCGATTAAATGTCGATTCCTGAATCATCTTCTCGTCCCGCCTTCCTGAGAGCGCTGAGAATGTCGGCTCCGACCATAGATTTTCCTGTAGCCCTGTCAGCAAGCCAATTCGCTTGTTCATTACCTCTTATCCCAGACTGTCCTGGCACAAAAATAAAACTAATTCCTCAGCGACTCCAACCATTTTCTTCAAATCTATCCTGTCTCTTTCTTCTTAAGAATGCCAATTGAATCACTTAGAAAGCACTCATGGGAAAACTGCCGTGTCTTTAGCCATATCATTGCTTTTGTTACCTCCACCATCTCCAATGTCAAACTACTTGTAGTCGAAGCAAAAGCCCCTCTTTCTGCTTTTAGAGTTTTCCCTTGAACAAGAACCGTGATAGCCAATGAACTTTGTACGTTTCGAAAGACGGATCCGTCAGTTTCAATAACTGCACCTCCGTCAGCAAAAAGTGTTCAAGAATTAAGGTTTAAAATTCTGTTTTAATCACCAACGGACTTCGTTGTCTGCAATCTCAACCTAGTTTAACGCAGACTGAAAAGGATATACCCCACTCTGCTAGCACTCGTATCAATTCCTCACCAGGTTCCATGTCCTCAATTGAACAAACTTTTTGCATATTGTCGTCAGCCTGACCCGCCCACGATTTTTCTCCATTCAACATGCTACCCTTCTTCCTGCGAATCTCACTGTGCGACTGATGGTGTGTATTGCAGATACACACGTGCTCGGCAGATCACTGTTCCACGGTTGGAAGGTCAAAAAAGGTAATCGCATCGCTCTGCATGCTGTATTTTTGTGTGCATCAAAGTATGATGCGCATGGCCAAATTCTTTATTCAGTGTAGGTGACATTGTTCACAGTTGGTCGCAGCCATAATCCTTGGCGCCGTCAATTTCACCTTTGCCTTCATTATCACGTGGTTGACGTGCTCATATAAAGCAAGTTTAGTCACAACACACTCCTAAATACTTCATGGAACGAGTTCTCTCCATGATCCCCGAACACAGACTCACAGTAGGTGTTGGTGTGTTTATCATATGGTTATTCAGCGAAAACCATGTCACAGTGTGACTTCGACACATTGACGACAGCTCTCGCTTCATCGCACCACCTGCTTATGCAATCAAGTTCTGTTTAAAGGCACTTGACAACTTACTCCCGGTCTCTACCTTAACGGTACATCAAAATATCAGCGTACGATAGTGTCCTTCCCGGTCCCAAGATCTGCTCACCAGTGATTCTCATGGTGATTTTGGTGTCGGGGATAAAGGTAAACCTTGCGGCAGACCGGTATGTACCAACTACCGCATTTAAACACCACCTTCCGCTCCAAGAGAGCAGATGAGATCGAATTAATGAGAAACAGACTGAGACTAAGATCAAGAAGAGCTGACCAATCAAGAAGTCAAATGGTACCTAGTTGTACGTATCGTCAAGATCAATTGCAGCAGTACGAGACTCTCTCCACGTGTGGAATGCCACATAAACATCGCACGCAAAGATCGATGCATTCCTCAATGACTCAGTTTGGGCGATATCCTCCTAGGGAAAGTTGAAGGAGGCCTAACTGCTCAAGACAGCAGGATATTTTCTTGGCAACTATCTTCTCCAACAGCTTGCCAACTGTATTCTGCATTGTGATTAAACGGTAGCCCTGTATTGCTGTGTGGTTTTTACCTATCTTCGGCAAAGGTATCAGAATACAATGCAGCCACTCTTCATCGATTGTCGCACTTTCAATACCGCTGTTGTAGACACTCGCCAGTTCCAACAACCTCTTAACATCTGTGGAGTTTATGCTCTCCCGTGTATATGCATTCTGTTTCAGCATCTTGTATTTAGACTCTATCTCAACATTTTACATTAATTATTTTCTTTGTCGCCATATTGTGTATTTATGTCCTATCTTAGTAATATGTAAATATATTCTGTCAGGCGTGGGGCGCGCATATTATGTGTCATAACTGTCTGCCTGTATATCATACCAAAAATTATATGGGTGTGTTACCCCATACATTTCATCCACCGTAGGTGTATACTGTATGATATGCATATACTATCACATATTATAAACATATAATGTGTGTAATCATTGTGTGTTTTGTATACTGAATATTTACCACTGTACACCCCCTGGGTCTACACAACTGGATATGTCGGAGTGAAAGGTAATGAATAATGCACTGAAAAAGCAGATATCATCAGTAGTAACGAATCTCTGGTGCTAACACGATTGCATGATCTACTAGCGAAACCTGGTGAAGCGGTAAAGTTACGTAAGGGTGGCTGCTGTATAGGAGGACTGAGCACACCTGAGAATGCTCAATGTGAAGGGACATTAAATATGATAACATAACCATGACCAGATCGCAAGAACAGCAACTTAAAAGGAGTGTGGCCAGACAAGAGCATTTCCATGGCGTGTGTGCGTGGCATCCTTTTTTTTTATTATGAACAGACCAGAACAAGTCATTATCCTCCGCCTCAGAACAGGGCACAATCGATTACGTAACTACATGTACACAAAATTCAAGATAGGTGTATCAGCCATGTGCACCTGTAGAAATGTGCTCCAGACAGCAGAGCATGTACTCCAGGACTGCACCGAATTTGACACATTAAGGCAAACCTTTTGGCCAGAAAGAACAACAGTGGAACGTAAACTCTATGGACCACTGAATGAACTAACAACGACAGTGAAACTTATACAAGAGACAAAACTGCTGATATAGACAACTTATTTCAGGCGAACGAAAGAAGAAGAAGACAAGAGCAATAGGAAGGGAGCCAAAAACGAGTAAGAAACCACACAGAACTGCTGTAGTCAGCCGCTTCACACTGTGGGATTTACTGGGGATTGGGTCCGAGCATATCTAAACGGTTCGATGTGCAGAGAGGGTTATTTTTCGACTAACTGACTGACTGACTGACTGACTGACTGACTGACTGACTGACTGACTGACTGACTGACTGACTGACTGACTGACTGATTGACTGACTAACATAACACACAGGAACAAGTCAGTGCTGTTTGTGCATCTTTTCTCACTTGAATAATTGTTTTATCCACAGATGGGAAATATGGGTTTGGTTCTTACAAAATGTTTCTAGGGCTTGGGATGGCACCGAGGACATGAAAGGCTGAAGTTCCACACTGACTTGCTGCGCGAGCAATCGATCGCCAGTTTATTATACGCATACTTTCTTTTCTGCTGTCGTTATTTAAGTAAAGGATTCTAGTTGTTGATTTTATTCTTCAAATTATGATATATCTTGTACAGACTAATTTATTTAGCTTTCTATCTATCTTTCCCTCTTTTTTTCGCTCTGTCATCTTTTTGTATGCCCTTCCTTTCTATATGTCTGCCTGTTTTTCTCTATTTCTTTCATTAACTTGTTTATTATTCACTTCTCTTTCTTTCGTATTTTTGTTCTGCTCAAATGTTTCTGTCTTTTTTCTATGGAAAGGCGAGAGATATTTGTTCCATGGGGAGGCGAAAAAGAGAGAGATTTGTTCAATGGGGAGGCGAAAAAGAGAGAGATTTGTTCCATGGGGAGGCGAGAAAGAGAGAGATTTGTTCAATGTGGAGGTGAAAAAGAGAGAGATGTGTTCCATGGGGAGGCGAGAAAGAAAGAGATTTGTCCCATATGGAGGTGAGAAAGAAAGAGATTTGTTCAACTGGGACGAGAGAGAGATTTGTTCTTTGGGGAGGCGATAAAGAGAGATTTGTTCCATGGGGAGGCGAGAAAGAGAGAGTTTGTTCAATGTGGAGGTAAGAAAGAGAGAGATTTGTTCCATGGAGAGGCGAGATATGGATTTGTTTCATGGGGAGGCGAGAGAGAGAGAGGGAGGGAGAGAGAGAGAGAGAGAGAGAGAGAGAGAGAGAGAGAGAGAGAGAGAGAGAGAGAGAGAGAGATATTTGTTCCATTGGAAGTCAAGAAAGGGGAGCAGGCTGGGGAGGAGGAGGGGGTGGGGGGTATTTCTAAACATATAGTGTTGATGTGTATACCCCCTGTGCATACTTATATTTCTTTTGATTGGTTAGAAGAAATATTAAAGTGCTTGTTGTTCTATCCAAACAATCGTATTCCTGATATTCTTTAAATTCAGCATTATCTCTGTTTCGATGGTTCTGTTGCACGACGCCACCATGTAGCAAAGATATCAGTTCCGTCACACTTCAAAAAATTTCCAAAGAAAGATGTACACAGTTTGGCACAAGATAAGATGAAATAACATTGCAAGAATGTGGGAACGAGGAATTAAGTGTAGATCCGGCAAGGAGGGACGGATGAGAGGAAGAGAACGATGTGTATAATCAGTGTGTTAAGGGAGCAGTTCGCATCTACATCATAAGACATTTGGTGCGGGAGACGGAGCATCTATGGGAATGCCAGGTGTGCTATTATGTCGATTCTTAGATAAGTAAATCAGTAATCAGTACACACTTTTTAATGGGTAGCTTCTGAGAAGAATTAACATGACTGTCCCAGAACTTGGAAGTTTGATATCAAAATCATGTTTGGATAAAAGACGAACACACAGAATATTCCAAATATCTGAAATGAAAACAAGCTTAGCCATTTTGCAGTTGTGCAGTCTCTTTCACTTTGATGCGTATAATGTTTCAATGTCCTGCAGCAAATGTTTATGTCGGTTATGAATGTTATCAAAGCCCTGTTATCCAAAAGTAGTTGGAAATAAAACTAAAAACAGGAGTTTTCTAATCGCCCTAAGTCTCATTGTTCTTTCTGTGCACTCTCCTCTGACACCGGGGTCGTTTCTAGAACTGGGGAGTCATCCCGTTTGTGCTCTAGGAACTCCTTGGGTTCCATTGTATAGGTAGAAATGACAGCCTGGCAACAGATAAAATGTAAATAATTTGAATAAACTAGAGTGGCAAGATACAGAATAAAAAGTACATTAATTTCATTTTTATTTATTTACGGGGATATCTCTCTATTCGGTTTTTTCCCTGTCCATTTCCTTCTCCATCTTTTCTCTACATTTTTTTCTACCCTGTTTGCGCTTTCTTCTTCATCGTCATTTTCTCCGTATTTTGCCCTTCATCTTTTTGTCTGCTTTTTCCTCCATCCTTTTCCAAAACTGCCAAAAGTCCCTCTCCAGATGTTAGCCTACCGCTTGTAGGCCATCCACTTCTTGGATTTAAAAAAAGTGTTATGTCCTTTAACATCATTATTTCCTGCTCTTTTTATTTTTCTGTCAACATATCATTTTTATCCTCAGTCTTTCCAAAATCTATTTTTGTGACTGCGTGTCGTTTCCATGAATGATTCACTTTCTTCTATGGTGTCTATTCACAAGTGCAGATAAGTTCACAGCAGAGCCTCAGAAAAGGAGCGAGTTAAATTACCTTTTTCTGCGGTGTCTCTCTTTAGCACACTATAACACTATCGCCTGAAAACACACACACACACACACACACACACACACACACACACAAAAACTCACATCGCAAACTATATAAGGGAAATAACACAAAGTAACTTTGGTCCTTGTTCATCAGCATTTTCAGGTACTTACCTCCCTGGACATCTGGTATCCCTTCTGTGCTACGAGAACAGCTTGTAGAATTGTGGAGCAAATGTTACGTCGGTGTATATGATTGTGAAACCCCGGGCTCTTCAGTACAGAAGCGACATGTGCTGTCAACATAACGTATACACAGATAATTCATATTAGTATACCTGTCTAACACCATATGAATAGTTAGAATTGCCTGTTTATTAGCTCCCTCTTTTAACTATACACACATTTTCGTGATAATCTTTACATTCAGCATTAACTTTGTTTTGATGATTCAGTTGCAGCAAAGATGTAAATATTATTAGAATTCAAAGAAATCGCAGTGTATAAATAAATGATGTATAACAAACAAATATACTCTTCTTCTTCTTCTTCTTCTTCTTCTTCTTCTTCTTCTTCTTCTTCTTCTTCTTCTTCTTCTTCTTCTTCTTCTTGTTTGTTCGCTGATTGTAAGTTCCTGGTTGTTCGTCCTTTTATATTTTAGCTCTGTACAGGGCCTGAGTTTTGCGTGTACATCTGTTATACTGGTTTTATTCGTGTGCAGAAAATAGTGTGTTGCCGCTTTGGAAAGTGCACTCCCACAAGCTTGTTGGGAAGGTATTGGGTGTATTCTTGTTCTTACCAAAAATGGATCTCCGAATCACACACCGGGAAGACAATTTTATAAGAAGTGATAAGCACTTATTGAAAGAAGTAGAGAGATAAGAAGACACTCGAGACAAAACAAAAATTGAAAGCTATGGTTACCGTGCCGGGAGTCGAACCTGCAACCTCTACTTCTACAACTTGTACTTCTTTTTATGAGTGCCGTTCAGCTTTTGTATATATATGTGTTCTATCTACGGCCCCAGGGGTTCCCATTAGGGTTTTTTTTTTTTTTTTGGGGGGGGGGGGGGTAGATGCAGCACACACACATACACATACATTTGTATTCACACTAAACATACACAAACATACACACATACACACACAAACACACACATACACACACAAAAACATACACATACGCACACAGATATACATGTACATACACACACACACACACACAAAGACGGACACACATAAATACACATACGCACACAGACAGACATACATGTATACACACACACACACACGTAATAGGTCAACTTCCATCATCATCATCATCATCACCCTGTCATGCCACTGTACGTGGCACGGGCACACAATCAAGTCATCCATACCACACTGCATCATGTGCAACCCTCTCAATATCATTTCAAGGTTTCACTCAAACATCATCCTTTGATTTGTTTCACATTTCACTACTTGTTGTGTGATTGCTTTTCGTCAACATTTTAACTTGAGATTGTGTCGACAAAAAATTCACCACAAGTAAATATCGATATTTAACAGAACACGACAATAACAAACATGGATGACCCGAAAAAGCTGACATTATGACCTAATGGCGATCTTAAACAAGTACAATAAAATAAACAAGACAACAAGCATAACTATGGAGTCGATGGTGGTAACGCAAGCATTCGTATGGCAAAGAACAAAAGACTATATCCGTGCTTGTGTACTTAGCGATTCCATGAGCATGATCTGAAAGATCCAAGCAGATTCTGTGAGAAGGCAGTGGATTGAGCCATTACAGAAGTCTACTGTTGTTACGCCGTCTTTATCTTCGTTCCGGGTCACGTTGGCGTCGATGGAAACGAATGGGCTGATAATTTGGCTGCGTCCGCTATCACTGCTATAGGTCAACCGATGGATCATGTTGCTATTTTTATTGCCCTCAGAAGTGGGAAGGATGGAGGACTTTCGAGACAGCGATTTCACATCGCTCATCAGAAAGAAAGTCTCGGGAGTTAAGATCATCATAGCCAAAACCGAGAGACACACCGGGCCTACAAAACGACTTATCAGTCATCAAAGAATCGGCACTATTAGTCACAGGACGCTGGGGTTTATATTGAGAGAAGGATGTGAGCATCTATGGACATGCCCGAAGTGCAATGACCATATCCCAACTAACTAACTAACAAACTAACTAACTAACTAAGCAAGACAACATCCCTACCCCTCCGTTCACCTCACTCAAGAAAATAATTATCATATGCTTCCTGGCTTGGCGGCTTCATATCTTGAAATTCGAGTCACAACTACTTTCTCTGAAAATAACTATTTTATAATGCCACCATTATATATATCATATCATGCCATTGCGATTTTTTTAATTTCTTCAATTGTGACTACTGAAAATTCAATTTCCCCACTAATAAAGCATTTTCTAATTTACTCATCAGATTTTAATATTTATGCAAAGTTGCTCTCCCAAAGTTTACTTTCTCGGATTTAAGTTACCAGTTATGTTATTTTATGTTATGTTATCACAATCGAATTATCACAATCGACGTCACTGCACATTGGGCATTCCCAACATTTTGGCCATGGTAAACGTCATGGTGACCTGGAATAAACGGTAAGGGATGGTACGGTATCCTGAAAACGAAACAGAGGCCGACCTCTGAGAATGTGTATTTAAAACATTGAAGACGTAGCTATGAAAGATGTAGGGTTTGAGAACTTACCAGTGCATTCTCCTAGCAGAACCTCTACGTCCACCTCCCGATACTCCAACACTATCTGTGAATGGTGTCAAACACGATCTCATCAACATAAATATAACATGTCTGTAACATAACTACAACATTTATGTAACAAAAATAGGCGGACACCTCTGGGGTGTTATCTGCTGTCAGCAATAACACCACAGAGCAGGCTACTCACTCACTCTTGCTGGACACCTTAAAGATTGCTGAAGACCGAAGTGCCCAGCTTTGTGAATGTGGAAGGCAAGGGAAGACTACCACATTGTATATCCCTAGAAACCTTATGCGGAAGCCGAAAAAAGATAAAAAGAATAAAGAGTCGCTTTAGCAATGCGGACACTAAACAGCAGGAAGAACCTATGGTACAACACCTGCAAAGGAGTTACAGTTGCAGTTTGGAGATCGTGTTTCTATCCCGTGGCAACTTGTGGGTGTGAGGCACTGACTCTTGATATCAAACATTGAAGAAAACAAATCGCAGTTTTTGAACTGAAATGCTACACAAAAATTCGTAGAATACCATGAATCGAGAAGAATAAAAAGACATTCTACATGGTTTGCGCATCGAGGAGAATTGGCTCATAAACAGCATCCTGTCCCGAACGTTGAGGTATTGTGCATGTTAAACGTCATGGTGACCTAGAGATGGCGGCGAGAGCAGATACGGTGTTCGGAAGATAGGGCAGCGGTCGACCTCCGCGAACGTGGATACCAGATACTGAAGATGAACTAGCTATGAAAGCACCTAGGCTAGAGAAAAACCATGACCTTACCGACGATTCAATCCTGGGTCTCTCACATGCGAGCAATGCGTTCTTAACCGTTCCTCACGCAGATCTGTTGGACCAGTTGTATGCCTGAGAATTTGTCTGAAACCTGAATCTAGCCAGCAAGTGTATATATAAACAGTTGCTTACCTTAGTCAGGGCTCTGGCGGTAACACTGTCCAACTTCTGGATGCATGTGGCGTCGATAACTATCGCATAAGTTTGGCCCTCTGCACTTAGGCTCTGTGTTGTTAGGGATCTTGTCTCGTCATTATTTTCACCTGTCTTCTCCGGCCAGGTGTCAGATGTGCCTATACTTACCTATTATTTAGAGAAAAGGGAAAAAAAAAACACTACATTTAAAATTATTTTACTTTTTACTTTAATAATTAATAATTTTTCCCCGTCATTTCCGCTGCCCTTATCCTTCAGTCAGGTTTGAGGTTTAAAAACAACGGATCAGCATCATGTCACACTTGTAACCCATAGGTTCTCCCTTCTTCTTCTAACTGAAGTCTCAGTCCGAAGAAGCTCAACAAAGTGCACAGGCTCTGTAACACCGGCGAGGATCCTAAAATACTTTAGGGATTTTTTTAAACTCAAAATTTTGCCCGAGCAGTGCCGTTAGGCTACTATTTTTTATTTCCAATTGTCAAGGGATTGTTTACTATGATGCACTTGGGCATCTGATCTGACTACCCAGAGACCAGTGGGAATTACTACAAGTTCAAGTCCACGTGAAAAAATCCCAGCCCTTACCGGGGACTGAACTCGGAACCTCTAGCACTCGAGGCGGACACAATGCCTCGAAACCACACAGCTCCATCCTTCAGACAATGAGCATCTATTAACGTTGAGAAAGACACCATCAACTACCCAAAAAACGACTTCTACTTATAATTGATGCCATATGACGTTGGTAGTCAAGTTTTCGTTCAATCTTCTGTCTCGTATACTTTCATTTATTTCTAACACAAATGGCTTTACATAGTTCACGACGTGTGGAGTTGGTAGTCATGTTTTCGTACAATCTTTTGTCTCGTACAACTACTGGACGTAAATTTGCCTAGAGAAATCACACAACAGCCAGGGGCTGCTGGGGTTGGTTCTGCAACGTCCTGGAAAGGATACGCAACTAACCTTCCGTCTCGTATACTTTTATTTAATTCTAGCACAAAGGACTTTCCATAGATCACGACGTATGGCGTTGGTAGTCATGTTTTCGCACAATCTTCTGTCTCGTATACTTTTTTTTTTTTTTAAATTTTAACACAAATGACTTTCTATAGTTCACGGCGTGTGGCGCTGGTAGTCATGTCTTGCTACAACCTTCTGTCTCCTGTACTTTAAATATCTTCTGACCCAGGTGACTTCCATACCATAATGTCAAACTGTATATCATCTTCTCTCTGTCTCCCTCTGCCTCTTTTCGCCTCCAACTTTCCTACTGTCACGATGTACTCAAGTTTTATCTTTTTCATAACATGACCCACTAAAAAATGTAGATCGTCTCCTTTTAGTGTGGCAATCAGTTCTCTTCTTGAAATAGTTTCTTTCAAGACATTGTCATTACGTTTCTTATCTGTCCAATGCGGGCTCATCATTCGTCGATAAAACCACATCTCCAGTGCTCGCAAAAAATTGTTTCCTAAACGCCCAACTGTCCATAATTGACTTCCCTATATCTGGATTGAATTTATATACCTCTTGAGAAAAATCTTTCTCGTCTTAATTGACAGAGCATATTTTCACAGAATACTCTTCATTCTGTGAAATGCTAAAACTTTCACAGCTAGCTGCATATCCTTTACAGGACGTTGCAGAACCAAGCCCAGCATTGTTGTTTGGCTGCTGGGGTTTTTCTGGGCAGATTTACGTTCCGTAGTTTGCCATTGCTGAAAACAACAAGCAGCTAACAAATGCGTAAGTTGGTTTGCCACACATCGAAGAGTGTGTGCAACCAATTGTTGGTGAACACGCATGGCTAATAAGATGTGTGAGTGGTGGTGTGTGCGAGTGTTGGCGAGTGAGTGTGGCGTATGTTTATAAATGTGTGTGTGTGTGTGTGTGTGTGTGTGTGTGTATATATAAGTGTGTGTCACATGTGGTTCACAACTACAAAGAAAACTTACTCTGTGATGTTGCGACACCGACTGACAGAAATTCATGTAAGATTTCTTTTGCTTGAGATCGTGTGGGCAGACTCCCGTCTCTTTGATCAGCGCCGATTTGAAGCTTTCAATGTTGGCGAAGTAGACAGGGGCATCAAATTTGAAGATCTGAACCCCGGGGACAGGCACAGCCTAAAATATCAAACAGAAAATACATTGATAACTTTTGTTTACATACATTTTGGGAAACTAGTACCTAGAATATTGGCATGGTTTCAGTTTCACGCAGAGCTGGGTTTCAGCCTCAAGTAGTGCTAGAGTCACTTACAAAACAGATAATGAAATTCTCTCATTCCTCCGCCCCTCGTCCCGTATGGAATCTAGGGCCTCAATTTGGGACCCCTCATAAGCATGTAAGAGGCGACTAACTAGAGGTTGGCTGATGTGTTGGATCGGTAGGCCTAAATATCGCAGACAAGCTTTTAAATTACAACGTTACATGTTAGTCCCCGTGTCAGAAAGAATGAAGAAGAGGAAGCAAAAGAACATTTTTGATGGGGATATTTTCAAAACAAATTCTGGGAATATTTTGGGCAGCCTGAGTAAATAACAAGAGGCTTCTGACAGTCAGACGTGACTGGCAGATATAAGGTTACAGCTGGATCTGTCATTGGGAAGTGGCAGTGGGGAAGATCATGATGACTAGAGCTGACTTGGGAGTTGAGTTGATTCAAGAAGCGACATCACAGCACTCGGGGCATTCCCATATGCGCTCCGTCCCCGCCTTCAGCAGCCAGAGCAGAGTTCCAATACCAGTGGTACCAGTAGCATTACGAAGAAATGCCTGTCCAGCCTTCCTCTAAGCGTCGAATATAGGCCAGATCCCCTCTCCACTTTTTACTGCATCTTTGTCACCAGTTTGTGCTGATCCACTTGCTCATGCTAACTGTACACGCTCTCCCACACGACTTAGCCAGGTGACTAGAAATGTTAGAGGTACCTGCTCTTCTCCGTTTGTCTCCTCCGGGCTGCTGCATCAAGGTATGGTCAGCCTGAGACGGCACATTCTCACTCTGGGTGGACGGCACGTCAGCAGGACAATTGGCTCGTGTAGCTTTGCCCCCTCTATGGAAAGGATTTCATAGGTCAACTGTACAAGAGGTAATAGGTCAACGGTACAACTGGCAGAGATATTAGGTCAGCGGTACAAGTGACAGAGGTAATAGGTCACCAGTAGAAGTGATACTGATAATACAAAAATGAAGGTTTATGAGTCTTGTGTCCTGAGCACATTACTGTACGGTTGCGAATCCTGGACTCTCTATGCTCCACAGGAAAAAAGACTGAATACCTTCCATATGCGCTGTCTGAGACGCATCCTTGGTATATTATGGCGAGACCTTGTCTCCAACGAATGTGTGCTCACAAGAGCAAAAATACCATCAATGTATTGTATACTGAAGCAAAGACGTCTGCGCTGGCTAGGACATGTCTCCCGCATGGAGGATGGTCGTATTCCAAAAGATCTCCTATATGGTGAATTGGTAACTGGGAATAGACCTAAAGGAAGGCCAAAGCTGCGCAATAAAGATGTATGCAAACGTGACCTAATAGATACCAACATAGGCACAGAGACATGGGAAAAATCAGCTGCAGATCGACTACGATGGAGACAGAAAGTGAAAGATGGACTGTCACATTTTGAAAGAAACCGAACACAACGAGCTGTGGAGAGGAGACACCGGAGAGTAAAACTGCCTCACAACGAAGGAGTATCTGCTTTTTTGTGTATCCTGTGTGGCAAAGACTGCCATTCCCACATTGGACTTTACAGTCACAGCAGATGCTGTTCCCAAAGCCATCGGCACATCTCCATAGTCCCCCGGGACTGACGGATGCCATTAGAAGTGGAAGAGGTAATAGATCAACGGTAGAAGTGGCAGAGGCAATAGGTCAACGATAGAAGATTAGGAGGTAATAAACAAAGGTACAAGTGGCAGAGGTAACAGGTCAACGGTAGAAGTGGCCGATGTAATAGGTAAACGATAGATGTGGCAGAGGTAATAGGTGGGGGTGATAGAGGCACACATAAAAGGTATTCTTGGTTGTTAAATAGGAATACTAATAATAACCAATGTAGGTTATCCTGAAAAATCGTCTTCTTCTGTACGTTCACAGACAAACTAGGATGATTATTTTAAGGCATTTTAATGCCTCACAGTCGTAGATGACCTAAACACACACACACACATACATAGATGATGGAAAGTCTTGGAACTTACTTCTTGGTACAATTTAATATCCACGAAGATATCTGTATTGGGTAATCTTCCTTGGAGACTGTAGTACGGTCTGGTAAGAAAATAAAAATATCACACCAGTGTCATTCAACATCATTGAACCCTGCTGTATGGTGCAGAAACTTGAACATTCAAAAAGCTGCTCAATCTCCATTTGAACTGAACTGAATTTATATCCCACTAGGACATCACACAATCGATAAACACCCGATGACGCAAAGTGCCACCATGTGGATGAGGATCGCCGTGGAGAGGTCCCAGAAACCGCGTTCAGACATTTGGCCATATTTATGGCCTGCCTATATTGCGGCTCCTGGCAAAAGCCAGAGTAGGGCTTCAAATGACAAAAAATTTCGTCCTAAGAAGGACGAAGTTAGAATAACTCTCTCCATTTGGGAGTCACTGTACATGTTATTATATAGAAAATAAAATATATAGTATTTCATGGAAACAAATATACATAGAGATCCACAAGACTGCGAATTAAAAGAGATTTATTGAAAGAATTTTTTTAAAATTACACAATTTTTGACACATTAAAAGACATGGCCCTCTTTCCATGACCATACAGGATGGAAACATCTAGGGTACGAGAGCAACATCTATACATGTTTGGATAAAGGGCGGACAGTTAGCCCCCTTGACATTTGTTATTGGTAGAAGTTGGAGGGTAAATCCCACCCCTGTCTCCCCTGAACCCTGTGGTGTTGGCGCCCCTGGCTCACAATACAGGTACAAAATCAAGCAGACGACAGACTTACTTCTGCGTCAACATCAGAACGGGAACCAGGTTGTAGATGAGACCGATCAACAAGCCCAGATCCACATCCAGGAGTACTGTAGCTGTGAAAGTCACCAGCCACACAGTCTGCCAAGGAAAATCAAAAGTCATCCCTTGATAAAAATTTATTTGCTGCAATTATTGTGTTGGATCATTAGTGTTGGCACCTCTAACAGCTGTGGTATATAGTTTTACTTTCCGAGTGCAAGATTGAGGATTTTGCTGGGATTGACTAGTTGTTAAGTAGTTCTCAAATAGGACAGTAAATGGACATTTTGTGTTTGAACAATGGATGAACATCATGGCACAAGTGTAGTAACCCATAAGGGCTCCGTTCTACTTCTAACTCAAGCCTGAGTCCGAAGAATCTCATCGCAATGCACGAACTACGTAGAACCGGCGAGGATCCTAAAATACTTTGGGTAGATTTTGTACGACTTCCCCTGGAACAGAAACGGAGCGGTTATGGGACAGCCTGTTTGCAGTGATAATGGAAGCTAAAGACAGACTATTGAAATCACCAGCAGATAGCATATTTGCAAATCTAATACATAACCTCTCTTAAATGTTACACGTCGCTTGCAGCGAGCGGGATTAGATAACATATAAGTCCTTTGATAATTTTACCCATCGCTGGCAAAGAGCAGGTTGGAAAATAAAAGAAATACCTTTTATAAGTATAGACGTTAGGTAAAGATAAACCGGGATACATAACATAACCCTTGACCCATTAGGGTCGTGAAGGTGTATTGACCAAAGCACTAGCACGTAAAACCAGCCATCTTTCTCTGCCTTTTGCTTGATGAATAAGTGTTTCATAACTTAGCCCTGTCCATTTCTTGATGTTGTCATTCCAGTTCTTCTTCGCCTCCTCTTCTTCGACACCCGCCCGTGCAACTTCAGTGTCCTGTCTCCACCGTGTTGGGATCTGCCTCTGCCCCGTTTTCTAGAAACTGCACCCTGGTTCATCGTTATCGCCAGACCAAAATACTTCAGCTTTCGTGACAGGATGCTGTTAATTAGCCAAATCTTCTCCACACACACACACATCATGAAGAATGTTGGTCAAAACATGTAAAGCTCAGATAAATACATTCATTTTAAAAAGTTCACAAGCTTAAAAATAGATCATTTATGCTTGGCTAAACATAAGTAGATACAAATGTAATGGGCTCACACAATCTACACTGGACACTCTCCACAGTTTGGGGATTTCCCCAAATTGTTCGAACAGCCCTTTCAGGGACACCATGATGATCGCTGCCAGGACGCTCTGAAAATATGAAAAAAATGTAAATAAACTAATAATACCCTAGATGATTAATCTAATGAATAATAAAATAATTTATATATATTATTCTGAAAATTATAAAGACTAATAGATAAAATAGAAAGAACTTTATTGTATAATAGATAAAAAAATAAAAAAATTAAAAAAATGACAGCTATTCTAGATTATATATAAAATTAATATAATTAAAAACTTTATAAGATATGATAGATAATAATATAGTTATACTTATATATATAAGAACTTCATATTTAAATAGAAGAAAGATATATATGTAATATAAATAAATAAAAAATAAAAACATAAGTATAAAAAAAAAAAAAAAATTTTAAATAATAAAAAAGATAAAAAAAGATAAAAAAAAAAAATAAAAATAAAAAAATTAATAAAATCAATAACTAGAAGAAAAAATATAATAATCTAAAAAAAATAGGATATAAAATATTAGAATTATAGATAGATATCTTATAGATAGATAAATTAAGATATATATTATTAAATATATTTAATTATAATAAATAAAATATATTAAATTATAATGATTATAGATATAGTATGATTATATTATATTATTATATAATGATTATTATTAAGAAAGAATATTAATTAAATAAAAATAGAAATAAAATATTAATGTATATTAAGTTATTATTATATATAATATATTAATTAAAATATATATATAATAAAATTAGTATTATTATTATTAAATAAATAATATTATATTATTATTATTATTAATTATGATTATTATTAAGATTATTATTATTATTATTAGTAGTTATTATTATTATATTATGTATTATTATTATTATTATTATTATATTAGTTATTAAATATAATTAATTATTATTATATATTATTATTATTATGATTATTATTAATTATTATTATTATTTTATTATTATTATTACTATTATTATTATTATTATGATTATTATATTATTATATTATTAATTATTTAATTAATTATTATTATATTTATTATTATTATACTTATTATTATTATATATTTATTATTATCTATTATTATTATTATTATTATTATTATTATTATAGTTTATTAATATATTATTCTTATTATTATTATTCTTGTATTATTACATTATTATTCTTATTATTTATTATTATTATTATTATTACTTAACATTATTATTATTATTATTATTCTTACTTCTTAATAAATTATTATTATTATTCAATAAATTATTCATTCTTCTTCTATCTTCTTTATTATTCTTTATTCTTATTCTTATTCTTCTTATTATCTTATTATTCTTCTTATTCTTCTTAAAAAATCTCTTATTCTTATTCTTCTTATTCTTCTTCTTCTTCTTCTTATTCTTCTCTTACATTCTTCTTCTTATAAATTATCTTATTATTATTCTTTCTTATTCTTATTATTATTATTTCTTCTTCTTATTATTATACTTCTTATTATTATATTATTATTATTATTATTATATTCGTTTCTATATTCATTAATCATATTATTCTATTCTTCTTTATTCTTCTTCTGGTCTTCTTATTCTTCTTCTTCTTATTATTCTTATATATATTCTTCTTCTTATTATTATCTTATTCTTATTCTTCTTCTTATTATTATTCGTATCTTCTTCTATCTTCTTATTCGTTCTTATTATTTATTATTCTTATTATTCTTAATTATTATTATTATTCTTATTATTCTTCATATATATTCTTCTTATAATTCTTCTTATTATTATTATTCTTCTTCTATTATTCTCTTCTTCTTATTAGTATTATTACTTCTTCTTCGTCCTTACTTCTTCTTAATTATTGATCTTCTTCTTCCTTCTTCTTCTTCTTCTTCTTCGTCTTCTTATTCTTCTCTTCTTCTTATTTTATTCTTCTTCTTATCTATTCTTCTTCTTCTTATTCTTCTTCTTACTTCTTCTTTCTTATTCTTCTTCTTCTTTTCTTTATCTTCTTCTTACTTCTTCTTCTTCTATTATTCTTCTTCTTCTTATATTCTTCTTCTTACTTCTTCTTCTTTTCTTCTTCTTCTTCTTCTTCTTCTTCTTCTTCTTCGTCTTCTTACTTCTTCTTCTTCTTCTTCTTCTTCTTCTTCTTCTTCTTCTTCTTCTTTCTTCTTCTTTTCTTCTTCTTCTTCTTCTTCTTCTTCTTCTTCTTCTTCTTCTTCTTCTTTCTTCTTCTTCTTCTTCTTTCTTCTTCTTCTTCTCTTCTTCTTCTCTTCTTCTTTTCTTCTTCTTCTTCTTCTTCTTCTTCTTCTTCTCTTTCTTCTTCTTCTTCTTCTCTTCTTCTTCTTCTTCTTCTTCTTCTTCTTCTTCTTCTTCTTCTTCTTCTTCTTCTTCTTCTTTCTTCTTCTTCTTCTCTTCTTCTTCTTCTTCTCTTCTTCTTCTTCTTCTTCTTCTTCTTCTTCTTCTTCTTCTTCTTCTTCTTCTTCTTCTCTTCTTCTTCTTCTTCTTCTTCTTCTTCTTCTTCTTCTTTTCTCTTCTTCTTCTCTTCTTCTCTTCTTCTTCTTCTTCTTCTTCTCTTCTTCTTCTTCTTCTTCTTCTTCTTCTTCTTCTTCTCTTCTTCTTCTCTTTCTTTCTTCCTTCTTCTCTTCTCTCTCTTTCTTCTTCTTCTCTTCTTCTTCTTCTTCTTCTTTCTTCTTTCTTCTTCTTTCTTCCTCTTTCTTCTTCTGTCTTCTTCTTCTTCTTTCTTCTTCTTTCTTCCTCTTTCTTCTTCTGTCTTCTTCTTCTCTTCTTCTTCTTCTGCTTCTTTTCTTCTCTTCTTCTTTCTTCTTCTCCTCTCTTCTCTTCTCCTTCTCTTCTTCTCTTCTTCTTCTTCTTCTTCTTCTTTCTTTCTCTCTCTTTCTTCTCTTCCTCTTCTTCTTCTTCTTCCTCTCTCTTCTCTTCTTCTTCTCTTCTTTCTTCTTCTCGCTTCTTCTTCCTTCTTCTTCTTCTACTTCTCTCTTCTTCTTCTCTTCTTCTATCTTCTTTCATTCTTCTTCTTCTTCTTCTTCTTCTTCTTCTTTTCTTCTTCTTCCTTCTTCTTATCCTTTCTTCTTTCTTCTCTTCTTTCTTCTTCTCTTCTTCTTCTTCTTTCTCTCTTCTTCTTCTTTCTTACTTCTTCCTTTCCCTTCTTCCTTCTTCTTTCTTCTTCTTCTTCTCGTTCTCTTCTTCTTCTTCTTCTTCTTTTCTTTCTTCCTTCTTCTTCCTTCTTCTTCTATTCTTCTTCTCTTCCTTTCTGTCCTTCCTTCTTCTTCTTTCCTTCTTCTTCTTCTTTCCTTCTTCTTCTTCTTCTTTCTTCCTTCTTTCTTCTGCTTCTTTCTTCTTCTTCTTCTTCTTCTTCTTCTTCTTCTTCTTCTTCTTTTCTTTCTTCTTCTTCTTCTTCTTTCTTCTTCTTCTTCTTCTTCTTATCTTCTTCTTCTTCCTTCTTCTTCTTCTTTTTCTTTCTTTTCCTTCTTTTTAATTCATTTGCAATGCCTTGTTTTGAATGATATATCGTTTTAAAGATAAACAAGTGTGCTATTAAAAAATATAATATGTTTTTTTTTTTTTCAATGCATGCGGCTAAAAGTAAAAATGATTTTAAATAAGTAATTTTTAAATAAAAAGGAAAAAAAAAACAAGAAGAAGAAGAAGAAGAAGAAGAAGAAAAAGAAGAATGCTGAGGGATGTGAAATGGAAGCTTTAAGGGAAAGTGTGTCTCTAAGTTGTTTAAAGATCCAACTAGAAAATGTCAAACAACAAGTTACGAAACATGTCATTTTTCTAATAAAATTCTAAGACTGCAACTTGCGGTAGCTTATTTCAGTACAGCAGAAGAAACAAATTTTGTTTGTCAGATAGATAAGATAGTGAACATTGTTTGTTATGCAAAAAAAAAAAAAAAAAAAAACTCCAAATTACTCACCCCCCCCCCCCCGCCCCTACCCCCTCCCCCATTTTTTTCTCCTAATCACCTTCTTGCCACAATGATATTTGATATACTCCATTAGGCTTATGACAATATAAAACATGCTGGGAGTAGTTGTCTCTAGAGAGTTACAGGTAAGGATTAAACAGAACGGATGTTAGCATATGAGATGTCAATAACTCATAAAAGAGTGAAGAACATTCAAACAGCCCAGCAGCTGCAAAAGCTGGGCAACATAAACCTATCATACACACAAACTCCCCGTGTGGGTTCCAGGACCCTATTGTAGGGAAAACAAGAATAGACACAATGCCCCCACCCCCCCCCCCCCAACAAGCATGTCGTAGGAGTCGACTCATTGCGACTTGCTACGATACACTGCCAGAGGTCACGTACCACTGGTTTTGGAACTTTGCACTGGCTGCTGAAGATAGGGACATAGCGCTTATGGGAATGCCCGAGTACTGTGATGTCGGTTCTTGAATTAAGTCAACTTGCCAGGTAATCAGGTAATGTCCTGGCTATATCAGTTTGGGAGACCTAGATGAGTTAAATCAAAATCACACCTAGAGATCACCGCAGTGCAGCGGCTAAACACTCGCCTAGGGATCAGTAGGTCGTGGGTTCTAATCGATAACGAGCTAAATTCTTCCCCCGTCCCCGAAAATGACATTGGCTCCCTGGTCGACTCAGTCTTAAATGGGTCCCAGGTCAAGTCCAAATCACCTTACCCACATCACCTTACCCACATCACCTTACCCAAATCACCTTACCCACATCACCTTACCCACATCACCTTACCCACATCACCTTACCCAAATCACCTTACCCACATCACCTTACCCACATCACCTTACCCACCTAGCGCTGATTTGTCTAAAAGTAAAGGTCTAGCCCTATATGCCCACTAAGCCTAAAGGCGTCGCAGGTTTCCTTTGTTTTACTGAGAAAAGAGTGGGATGGAAAGGGAGGAAGATATAGATGAGGGCCATGGGGAAGAGAGAGAGAGAGAGAGAGAGAGAGAGAGAGAGAGAGAGAGAGAGAGAGAGAGAGAGAGAGAGAGGCGCAGAAAGACAGATAGAGAGGAAAGTACAGTCACTTCGTACAGTAATCAGAGTTCACATGTGCATACTAAAGAACTAATGAACAAACAAATGAACTTTATTTTCAAAGGGTCACAAATGACAGTAAGTGAGTAGTGTGTGTGAAATACTTACATTGGGCAAAGCTTCAAACAGAGGGCCCAAAGTCAACAAGACGACCAGAACTAGGACGCTGGAGATTAAACTGACCACCTGTGAGACCAGACATGGAAGAACTGTGAGCAGTTAGTGTATTTTTTTTTTTTTTTTTGTTCCTTCTTCTTTTGTGACATTTTTTTTTAGTTTCAACAAGTTGAATAGATAAAGTTAACAACTTGTTGAAACCTGACAAAGCCGCCAAACAGCAAGCTAACGAGCGCGCAGTAGGCTATCTCGGAAAACAATCATTAGCCGTGCCCGCGACGTCGAACAGCATTAATCAGAGAGAAACAAGACAGAGATAGCAATTCTACAATTTTACAACATTTATACACTTATCGGTGAAATAAGCAGTTTTCAAACATTGATTAGTAATTAATTCATTCAACTAATTCGGCTTACATCATGAATGTTGACTGTTGTGTAATCTCGACCGCTAGTGTGTTTAACTTTAATAGGGCATCAGAACTAGCAGTCGGTTTTACCCTATCTCTATATGTGCTCTTGCGAATTGTTACCTTGTTTTATCAGAGTGCATATTTTGAAGCTGGGATCGAACCCGGCCTGTCGAAATTACCAAGCGCTTTCGCAACGCCCAAGCCGCAAGCAGCGACATTTGGCGGCGATTTTATGTTTCTATATAACAACAAGAACTCTTAAAGTCGCAACAAATGTATGGTGTATGAACCACCCTATTCGCTGAATCCCATCCCTAGCTTAATATGCTCTCTTACTTTTATATTTGCTCAGACAGCACTCAGGAAATCTAGCTTATCCAATAGTCACTATTACTGTTACATTACCACTTAGAAAGTAATTCACCGAAGAATTTTCATTACGGATTTTTCTTCTTTAGCATTTCCTACGAAACTTTCTTCTCATAATGAGAGCGTTCAAATACTGTGCCCCAGTTATTTGTCCACTTTTCAACAATTAAAAAGTACAAGTCGCAGCCGTATTCAAAGAGAAAACGTTCCCTGAGCACCGACCTGTGTCTTCCCACCCACGCTTTCCTGGACCATACTTCTGGACAGAGATGCAGCACTGCAGAAACACGAGAACATGGACCCAAGAGTGTTGCTGATTCCGTGGGCAACCAGCTCCTGTAGATAAGGATACAATGGTAGTTACAAACCTGCATCAGTTCAAACTGGCATCTATCTCTCATTCAAACTGACACTTATTCATACTTATCTATGATTTAATATCATACTTATCTATCATTCAAAATCATACTTGTCTGTCATTCAAACTCATACTTATACAGCATTCGAAATCGTACTTATCCGTTTTTTAAATTCATACTTATCCATCATTCAAAAAAAAACTTATCCGTTATTCAAACTCATACTTATTCGTCACTCAACCTCATACTTATCTGTCACTCAAACTCATTCCTATCTGTCATTCGAACTCATACTAATCTGTCACTTAAACTCATACTTATCTATGACTGAAGAAATGAGAAATGCAGAACTGGACGTAGGCTGTACTTTCTCGTAGGGCATGGCTGTAATCTCTCATGGGACGTAAAGGGGGGGGGGGGGGGGTTTTTAGGGTCAGTTCTTCATGTTTCAAGACCGTTAAAAGCGCTCACGTCCTGTAATATAGAACACGCGATATCTCCAGCCGGTGACAACAACTAGTAAAATGCTTTCCTCTCTCTCCAAAACATAGCACAAGCTATGCGACACAACAATTTATGAATGGAAAGGGAAGTCACTCTCTTTCTTGGCCCGAAAACGTATGATGTAAATTTGCGCGCGCACACACATTTGCGCGCGGGTTTGAAAAATAACTAGACATAAAGGGATTTTTGGAAAATTTGCGTCTGTTGCATCATTTGCAGACACAAAGCTAATAATGATAACGGTTTTGTAGATTACGGTCATTTGAACTAACTAAAGAAAATAAAAGGCGGGAGAAGACACAAGTTTTGATGTATATGCAAATACATTTATAAGCGCAAAATTGCATAAACCCCCCCCCCACACACACACACACACACACATACGCGCATGCATAAACTCGCGCACACACACACAGGTGCGCACACACATATTCACAAACACACGCGCACATTCATACACACAGGCAAACACTCATACGAATTAAAAAAGATTGTTCATCCTGCCTGGTTAGGGTCAACAGAGTAGTCGTTCTTGTCCGCCAGAATCTTGGCAATGGCAAACGAAATGGCGAAGGCGGTAAAACAAATAGCGAACGATTCGCCAATGACATCCGGCAGATATTTGACAAAAGTGACGCTGAAGGCGGGAAAACTGTATATGAAATTAAATTATATATAATAAACAAATAGACAATGTATTGATCAGCAATCATAGAAAGAAGTAGAAAGATAGAATTGAAACTATTAATCAATTGTAACTGCAGCTTCCAGCAATGATAACTGCAATGTCGTCCCCTTTTGGGATGCATTTTTTTTTTTTTATTTAAAGCCCCACCCTGGCCTTTGCCAGGAGCCCTGAATATATCCGGGCCATAAATATGGCCTAGCCATAGATATGGCCCAACGGCTGAAAGAGGTTTCGCATGGTGG